CATACAAGAACTGGGCTATAGGCCAGAGATGTGTGTGTAAAGGGGGAGGGTGAGAGGATTCACCAGAGACAGAGTGGGGAACAGAACAGGCAGACTGACTGAAATGCACCGCTGAAGGGAGCAGCAGGCAAGAGAGGAGAGGTCTGCTGTGCCATGTGGCTTGCTTCCTGGCTGGCCGGGGATGGAACTCATGCTGCATGGCGTCATAGTGCTGGATAGCTTCATAGTGCTGAGACATAACCCCTTGTGCCAGGAAGGCCAGGAAGGCCCCAGCCCCTCAATTTTTATATTAACAATGGTTCACAAGTTTCCAAGCACTTTGTCGAGGTTGCTGTGGGGAGACACTTTCATCCATTGCTGGTCGGAGACTGAATGGCCTAATCCCTCACGAAGAAAAGTTAGGAATATTTACCCAAATCACATGTGTATTTGCACTTAGACTCAGGAAACCCATTTCTAGTAATTTGCGTGCACACATATGAAATATGTATATACACGGCATTTCACAGTAGTTATGTATTTACTAGCCAAAGACTGGAGCTACCCGAATCCTTCAGCAGAGGACTGATCAAATCAAACAAACTATGGACACTATGGAGCTATTTTTTAAAGTGAGAAAGCACTCGCTACAGGAAATGGAAAGATCTCTAAAATTTCTTATCAAGAAGATCATTGGTAGAACAAAATACAGGGGTAAGACTTCTGAGGAATGGGAGAGTATAAAATATAAGGATTCTCTGGTTTTGCATATAGAAACACTAATAATACAGGAAAGAAAAACTATTAAAATTGGCCTATAGGCGCATGAGGAGTAGGAAGAAGCAGATAGTTTGGGAAGTTAGACCAGAAGGACTTTGAAAATATGTTTCAGACAAAAAAAATCAAATATTTGGGAATAAATCTAACAAAAGAGGTAAAGGACCTATACAAAGAAAACTATAAAACACTGTTAAAAGAAATAGAAGAAGACACAAAGAAATGGAAAGACATCCCCTGCTCATGGATTGGAAGAATAAACATTATTAAAATGGCCATCCTACCAAAAGCAATATACAGATTCAATGCTATTCCAATCAAAATTTCAATGTCATTCTTCAAAGAAATAGAACAATCATTGATGAAATTCATATGGAATCACAAAAAACCCCTAATAGCCAAAGCTCTACTAAAAAAAAAAGAAGGAAATGGAGGCATCACACGCCCAAACTTCAAACTATACTACAAAGCCATAATCATCAAAACTGCATGGTATTGGAACAAGAACAGACATACAGACCAATGGAATCAAATAGAAAATCCAGAAATAAACCCATAGATTTATGGTCAACTAATCTTTGACAAAGGAGCAAAGACTATGCATTGGAGCAAAGAAAGTTTGTTCAATAAATGGTGCTGGGAAAACTGGGTCGCTACATGCAAAAGAATGAAGCTTGACCACTACCTCACACCATACACAAAAATCAACTCAAAATGGATTAAAGAACTAGACATAAGACCTGAAACCATAAAATACATAGAAGGAAATATAGGCGAAACACTACGGGATTTGCACATCAAAGACATCTTTACAGACACATCACCCAAAGCAGTGATAGTGAAGGCAAAGATAAACAGCTGGGACTACATCAAATTAAAGAGCTTCTGCACAGCAAAAGAGACAATAACAAAAACAAAGAGAAACCCCACCAACTGGGAGAACATTTTTGCACCCAACACTAATGATAAAGGACTGATCACAAAAATCTGCAAAGAGCTGATGAGACTCAGCAACAACAAAGAAAATAATCCAGTCAAAAAATGGGCAGAAGAGCTAAAAAGAAACTTCTCTGAAGAGGAAATGCAAATGGCCAACAGACATATGAAAAAATGTTCAACATCACTTGTAATCAGGGAAATGCAAATCAATACTACCATGAGATACCATCTTACACCAGTGAGAATGGCACATATTAAACAAACTAGCAACAACAAATGTTGGCGAGGGTGTGGAGAAAAAGGAACTCTTCTGCACTGTTGGTGGGAGTGCAAACTGGTCCAACCACTATGGAGAGCTGTGTGGAGATTTCTGGACCTACTAAACATAGAGCTTCCATATGATCCAGCAATTCCACTCCTAGGTATTTACCCAAAGGACACAGAAACATCAATTCCAAAGAGCACCTGCACACCTATGTTTATAGCAGCACTGTTTACAATAGCTAAGCTTTGGAAACAACCCAAATGCCCAAAAATAGATGACTGGATCAAGAAGATGTGGTACATATACACCATGGAATATTACTCAGCATTCAAAAAAGATAAACACATGCAATTTGCAGCAACATGGATGGCGTTGGAAGGGATCATGCTCAGGGAAATAAGCCAAAAAGAAAAAGAAAAATACCGGATGGTCTCACTCATAGCAGGAATCTAGAAAACTTAAATAAGGGACCAGGAAAATGAATATAAGAAAGTGAAAATCAAAATCAACAAAAAACTATGAACCAGAGACACTTTTTGGGGGGTGGGGGGCGGGAGGGGAGGGATTGGGGTCAGAATGGGGCGTTTGCAATTGTATGGGGGAATATAAAAATAAAATTTATTATTTAAAAAAAATGAAAATATGTTTCAGTTGCTTTATTTTTTTTTAATTTTTTATTTATTTTTTTTTAAAGATTTATTTATTCATTTATTTATACAAGCATTGGGTATAGTCAGAAGCACAGGAGGGTGAGAGAATTCACCAGAGCCAGAGCGGAGAGCAGAGCAGGCAGAAGGACGGAAGTACACTGCTGAGGGGAGCAGCGGGTGGCAGGAGAGGTCTGCGCGCCATGTGAGACCCTCCTCTGGTGGCTGGGGAGCAGCCGGGGATCGAACCGGTGCTGCAGAGGCTGCAGGCAGCTTCGCAACCCACCGCTCAACCGCTGAGCCACCGGGGAGGCCCTCTTTATTTTTTTTTTAAATAATAAATTTTATTTTTATATTCCCCATACATTTGCAACCCCCCCATTCTGACCCAATCCCTCCCCTCCCGCCCCCACTCCCCAAAAACTGTCTCTGGTTCATAGTTTTTTGCTGATTTTGATTTTCACTTTCTTATAGATATTCATTTTCCTGGTCCCTTATTTAAGTTCTCTAGATTTGTTTCAGTTGCTTTAATTGCTGAATCCTTTCCATGTATTATTGGTGGAAGCAAAGAAATTAGCTTTAAAAAAAAAAACCACTTTAATTCAGCAATATGCTGTGGTTGAGATTCTTTGTTTGCTCCAGATGACTGTTTACGTCCCGAAGTAGTCATTAATGGCCTTTCTTTTGCTCTCTGATGTGCTTGAGCTCGGACAACAAAGAGAGTAAACACTCCATGTGATGCTAGTGCAGAGCAGATGCTTTGATTTTGGTGCATATAACCCTGGTCTCCTGCTACAGTTGTTACCCAGATGTAACCAGGGGAAAAGTGACCAAAAACTGGGCCTCACCTGGGGTGCATACCCCACTGAGTCACACTAAAGCATTGCTTCTCAAACTGTTGTCACATCATTACACATATAACAAGTGATAACATCTATATAGTAACCTTAGCTGGACAGAAAGGCTGTTTATTGGCAGAGGCAATCATGCGAGAACCCCAGTTTCCTCAGGCCCCGTTCAAAGGGGTGGGAGTCAGTGACCACCCCTGTTCTTTTTTTTCCTGTTCTTTATTTATATGTACATTTCCTATATATAATTATATGTAAATTTCTATATGGGAAAAGCTGTGCTAAGGATGATCTAAACCCTTATGTTCTAAAGGGAGGACCCCAAGGAAGTTGCAAGAGAAGATAGAATATACACATAAAGGGGAGTTTGGAGCTCTGACTAGATCACATAGAGACCCTCCTGGTGCAGAAGGGAAGGGCACTTGATCACTCTCATTTCACTCTGTACATCCATGAAAACCAAGCTCTGTGCTATAGTTAGTAGTGCTGCCTTGAGTTGGTAGCTAACTACCATGTCTGTCCCTAGATGCTCAGATCTGATTCTTTCTCCTCGAAAGGACATTATGAAGATTAAACAAAAATACATTTGTAAGCAGCTGTCACTATTTCTGGTATAGGAAAGACATACAAAAAGTACTTGGTTTGGTTTTTTTAGCAGTTACATGAGAACGGAAAATAGAGAGCACATGGAAAGCTCACGCCATGGTCTGTCTCTGCCAGGGTTCTGCCTGGTCTTCCTCACTGATTTCCTGACAATCTTTGGCAGGTATGTGACCTTCAACTCACATCTCATCAAAATAATGAGGTTGAACCTGATCAATAATTTCCACTTTGCTCAGCAGAGGAAGTGGGGGGAAGGACTGGGGGAGGAGAGTGGAGGCAGAGCAGGATAAAAACTCAGGCCCCTGTCTCCCTCTCTGTGTTAACCTGTTTTCTGTTTTTGTAGATATATACTTTGCATGCAAGGCTTGCACAGATTTTTGTCTGTTTGCCACTTGCTTTTTTCATTTTTCAAAAATTAACTTATTTTTTAAAATATATATCCAGCTCATTTTTTAGCCACCGTCCATGCTAAAAGAACTCAGGCAGCACGTCCAATACCTTGCTTTTGTGCCTTTAGAGAATCAATTATCACCTCTGCGCAGGGCCCAGGGCTTCCACCTGAAATGTACACTTGTTATTTTAGCCTTGTTACCAAGCTTGCTTGCTACCTTTTCAGTCTTTAGCTAGAACTGAAATCCCTGCTCTTGGTTTTACTCTGTCTTCTCTCAACAGGGCACAGGGTAAGTCACAAATACATCCCTGGCTTTTCTTCCTTTGTGGCATTTCTTCCCCCATCAGAGTGAGATGGATCAAGACCCATATCTCCTCTCTGCTCGTCCTGACGTTGACCAGCTCAGGACCAAGTCCTCGTGAGTGGGTGTTGCAGCATGTTTGACAAAATATGTGGTTGATTCTTTGACATTTACTTTCACTGACCAGAGGGTGAACTAACCACCAGCTGATTCCCACGTCACCAAGAAGCTGGGCTGTGACAATAGAGTGTCAGGGCCCCTTTAAAATAGCCCTGATCCTCTCAGCAACCCTCTTGACAGCCTCCTTCACCTCCTTGTTGCGAAGGGTGTAGATGATGGGATTGAGGAACGGGGTGAGAAGAGCATACACCAAGGCGATGCACTTGTCTGCACCCTCAGGGTGACTCCCTGGTGAGCTGACATAAACTGTGAAAGCAGAAGCATAAAACAGCGCCACCACAGTCATGTGGGAGGAGCAGGTGGAGAAGGCCTTGGCACGACTGGCAGCTGAGGGCAGCTTCAGCACAGCTCTCAGTATTCCCCCATAGAGACCCAGGATGAACACAAAGTTGCAGCCTGTGGCCACACCAATCACTGCCCCATCAACCTGATCATGCCAGCCTGTGTCCACACATGCCAACCGCATCAGTGGTGCCAGGTCACAGAAGTAATGGGTCACTTCTCTCAGACAGAAGGGCAGAGTAGCCGTGAGACTGGCTGGCACCACTGCAGCTGAGAAGCCAGCTGCCCACGATGCCCCCGCCAGCCACAGCTGAACCTGCCTGCTCATGAGAGCGTGGTAGTGCAGTGGGCGACAGATGGCAAGGTAGCGGTCCAGCGCCATGACACCCAACAGGTAGCACTCGGTCATGCCCAAGGAGTGGAAGACATAGAGCTGGAGGAAACATGCCACTGGCGGGATGGGGAAACGCCCATGGAGCAAGGAGTGCAGCAGCAGGGGCACCGTGGTGCTCACATACCAGAGCTCCAGGAAGGAGAGCACGCTGATGAAGAAGTACATGGGTGTGGCCAGCCCCGAGTCTGCCTGCACCAGGATGATGATGAACAAGTTGCCCGCCAGGGTGAGGAGGTAGATGCACAGGGTTCCCAAGAATGCCAGTGGCCTCAGGGTCCCAGGGAGTGTGAAACCAGCCAGGATGAAGCTCTGGGTCCACGTGTGGTTGACATGGTCCATGGTACCTGGGCACAAGGAGTGAAGACAGAAGAGTAACTGCTTTAGGATCCGTCCTCTATTCACAGCATTTTCTCAGTGCCAAGAACACTGAAGGTGAGCACCTGACAGGAACTTGGATGGCATCTAACACATGCTCCACTTCACCTAAAGAAAGTGTAGTTCCAAGGCAAAAATTATTGACTCATATCACAGAATCCAAGTTGACAGGACTGGAGATAGAAACCAAGGCTCCTGATCCCAGATCAGTCCTTTTCTCAGTTACAATAATGGGCTCAGGAGACCAGGGCAACTAGATTTCATCCCTGCTCTGCCATCAGGAAACAGAAGAGGCAGGAAAATTCCACATCTGTCTTTCTGGTAGTTTCCAGTGATAAAATAACCCACAATACTGGACTGTAAGAGAAAAAAAAAATCACCCCTAGAAGTGATATCAAAACACTTTCAGCAACCGCTCTGGAGTTTGCTGACCATTCTCAGAAGGATTAGAAGACATGCAGATGAAAGAGATGCAGAGACTCTGAAAATAATCCCTGAAATATCATATTCATGGTGTGTGATGATGATAGCTCACTGGGTGGACACACTACGGGTCCCCAAAGGAGACATGTACAAGGAATTCTCAAGGAGGAAAACTACAATGTCAAAATCTCCAGAGACACTTTATGGGGGGTGAGGGGCAGGGAAAGGAGGGATTGGGATCAAAATAATGGGGTTGTAATTGTATGGGGAATATAAAAATAAAATTTAAATTAAAAAAAAAATTTTTAAATATCACTTAAATAAGAAAAACAACAACAACAACAACAAAAACAAAACCCACCAAAATCTCCAGTAAAAAGTCCTGCAGTGTAAAGAAACAGCTTCTTTTCAGTCAAGGACTTGGCTTTGTGACTGTGTCTGTCATTACCTGGCAAACACACAGGGCTGAGCAGCTTCTCCTATAACCTCAAGTTCTTTTTTTCAGAATAAAAAGTTTCAGATACTTTTCTAAGATTCTTGCAACACAGAAAGGTGACGTTTTCTTGAAGTCACTGGAAAGTGTTGTGGATTGTGGGGGACATCCGCACTATTGGTCCTAGAGTTCCCTACCATACCTGACAGGCCTCACCAGAAAGCAGAGCCACTCCGAGTCCTCCTCTTCAGCTCCTCAGCTCTGCTGGACCATCCTGCCCTTATCCTGACTGACTTGGTGACATCAGGACTCAGTGCCTCCTCCTCAGCATCCTTTTACCCAAGATGCTTCCCTTCTTATAGCTTCTGATCCTGGTGGGACCCCAGGGACTCATGCTCTGTGTTCCCTGGGGTGGATGGTGGGGTGTGATGAGCTCTCAGTAGGGCTTACACTGGGGCAGGATGTTGGCACAGGGAAGGAAAGTAGATGAACTTTATTTCTCAAATGACTCTTCTTATCTCGGCAACCTTGACTTTTGGGCTCTGGAATCCATTCTCAGGACATTGCCTCCACTGAGTCAGAGGAAAACTTTTGCAAATTTTACACACATTTTTATGGGGAGAGACAACCCATTTTGAATTATCTTCTGAACACATGGAGAATAATAAATTGAGGATCCTAGAAGCTCACTTCATCTGAAGAGTTTTATTTCATCTTCTTTAAAATTGCCTTTGCAAGGACACTTTTCAATTAGCTACATTTCCACTCAACTCCAATAACAAGAACTGAATGACCTAAGAGGAGAAAATTGTTCATATGCTTATTACTCACTTTAACATTATCACAGGACAATCACTACCTCTACCTCCTCCATGTCCATACTCAACTTTGGCATCAATCATTTTTTAATCTCCTGTGTGCCAAACACGTCTAAAACACCAATGCTGCTATCATCATTTTACCTCCACCATCATTATCATTGCATGGGACATCACATCACACTTCTCCAGTTCCATCATCACTCTCATTTCCAAAAATTTTTTACATTTATTATTCGTTGCCCCACCACTATCCTGCACATCCCCTTGTCCCTTCCCTCCCATACCCTCTTAACCTCAGAGCCCTCAGAATGTTCATTGATGGCCACCAGTTTTTGAAAGTGTTTTGTTATTGGATTGATTGTCTGCTGTGTAAATGTCCAGTATTTGTTTTTACTCATGTTAACTTATTTTGCTACACATAATTCTTTCAAACTCCCTCCATCTTATTAAAAATGCTGCCTTTCATTCTTTTTATGGCCATATAATATTCCATGGTGTGACTATACTACACCTTCTTGATCCAGTCATCTATTGCTGGCCGTTTAGGCTGTTTCCATGTCCTGACCATTGTAAGAAATGCTGCTATGAAAATTGCAAGACATATGACTTTTTGTGTTAATGTTTCATGTTCTTTTTTTTTTAAGATTTATTTTTATTTACTTTTACAAGCACTGGGTACAGTCAGAAGCACGGGAGGGTGAGAGAATTCACCAGAGCCAGAGCAGGGAGCAGAGCAGGCAGAAGGACCGAAGTACACTGCTGAGGGGAGCAGCAGGTGGCAGGAGAGGTCTGCGCGCCATGTGGGACCCTCCTCCGGTGGCCGGGGAGCATCTGGGGAATGAACCGGCACCGTAGAGGCTGCGGGCAGCATCACAACCCAGTGCTCAACCGCTGTGCCACCGGGGAGGCCCGATGTTTCATGTTCTTTGGACAGATACCCAAGAGTGGGATTACTGGGTCACACACTATTTCTGTTTTTAGTGTTTAGTATTTAGGGATTCTAAGGGCCGTACCAGTTTATAGTCCTGCCAACAGTTTAATACAGTTTCTCTATATCCTCTTCAACACTTGTGGGAAATCTTTTGAACAAATGCCATTCTAGTGGGTGTGAGATGGTATTTCATAGTGGTTTTAAACTGCATCTCTCTTATTAGACCTGATGATGAACACTTTTTCATGTCTTTTGACCTTCTGGAAGTCCTCTTTGGTGAATCGTCTGTTCATATCTGCTGTCCATTTATTAATTGGGCTTTTAAATTGTTGAATTGTATGAATTCTTTATATATTGTGGATATTAATCTCATATCAGTTATATAATGTGCGCCTATTTTCTCCCATTCAATGGGATGCCTTTTTAACTGTCTTATATTTTCTTTCACTGTATAGAAGCTTTCTAACTTGAGACAACCCCAATTATTATTTTTTTTAAATTCCCTGCCATCAGGGTCAAATCATCAAAAATTTACTTTACCATTGATATCATGGCACATTATAACTAACATCATACGTTTCTTCTATGTATTTTATTGTTGTAGGCCTCACATTTAATTCTTTAAGCTTTTTGGAGTTAATTTTGGTACACATCACTCTCATTTTAATTATCATTGGCATCATCTTCATAACAGTCCTACAATGGGATTGTGAGCTCTGATTTCCACTCACATATACATGAGCATGTACTGAATGGATATGAAGGTCATATGGAAATAATGGATTAAAGCATTAATTCACTGAAAGTAATATGTTTACCTCATTGGTTGATGCAAATATGATATCATATTTAAGAATCAGATGCAGACAACAAGATAATAGCAAAATTAAATTGACTTATCAGGATATTAACCATGGAGAGATGGTTATAAACTACAAAAACATAAGAGCATCTATTGAAAGATAATTTTCATCCTGGAAAGTTTACCTGTGAGAATTGGAGTTGTTAAATAACAGGGAAAGGTGATATTCAGCTATTTAGTTTTGAGAAATATTCTTTAGAAAATGATGTAACTTCTCCTTGGATAAAACATTCTCAGATGCTTGAGAAATCAGGTCTGAGTTTTCTTCAGCTTTTCCTTAGATTCTATTTTATCTTCAACATTGGCTTTTCCCCAGGATGGATGGCCGCAGCTATCATTTGACATAATTCCATCATCCCCCGTGGTCCCAAACACCAATACACCCCTAATTTGCAGCCTTATTTATGTATCTACATGATGGATTCTGAGTCAGACTTTCCCCATGCTTTGCTGTGCCCAACTGCACATCACCCTGACTTGGCATTAGAGGGTATATTATAATGACGATGTGTTTGCCATCAGAAAGCAATCAATGTGACACAAATACATGTTTATAAGATGCTTATATGCAAACTCAAGTCAACGCAAAATTATATGCTAAATATTTAGCATTGTATATGAATGAGTGAGGTGTTTTAAAAGTTGCATGAAGAGGGAAAATGAAAGTTGGAGCATCCCAAATCTAGGCCTTGTTTAGCAAAGAAAACCATTTATTTCTCCTTCTCACCCTCACCAGTGGGATAGAAAAAGGGTGAAGCAATTACTCTATTAGAAATGAAGCAAGAGAAAGAAAGGTTCTGATGCCTCCGTAAGAAGCTCATGATTCAGCAAAAGAGAACTAAGAATCCCATTGAAACATTAAGCAAAGAAAATGTCAACATTTTTCAATATAAGCATTAATATTTGAAAAATGTCAATGTTATTGGAAATGATTAAGAAGGGATAGAAGAATAATGATTTTAAAATAATTTTATAAGTGATTATAAAAATAATTCTTTTTTATTTTTCTAAATATTCTGTATTAGGGAAATATTTATATATCTGTGTATGAAATACCATTCTCCAAGGAAAAAAAATGTGATCCAAGGGTTAGAAGAGGTGTTACCAAAAGGAGCTTAAATAGTGTGAGGAGAGGGAAAAATCAAAGCATTCCATTTTCATTCATTTAACAGATTTATTAAATGTTTTCTATTTCTCACACCTCAGACTAGGCAAAGTGTATGATATGTTAAACATAATCCCATTCCTCAAGTTGCTTGTGGAGTGGGGAGATAGACCCCAAAATAAGCATCTATAACACAGTGGGGTCGTTAAACAGATGGAAAAATATCATCCTAAGTCATAATAAGATATATGCAACTTTAAACAACACTGAAATACTATCCAGATTGGCAAAGATCTGGCAGTTTAAAATAATACATTTTGTTGGGAAGGCTATAGGGAAACAGACATATTCATACATTGCTTGATGGAATACAAAATACAAATAAATTTGGAGAAAAATTTAACATTACTTATGCAAAATTACACATTTACTTGTGCCCAGCAATCCCACTTTTAGGCCTGCATCTTGCAGATGCATGTGCCCATGTATGTTAAGTACATGTATACATGAGTTCACTCATTGCAGTTCTACTGATAATAGCAAGAGAAGTGACTCATGAGCCCTTCGATAGAGACTGTTACACTAAACACACAGTGGAACACCACAGTGCTGTCATCAAAGTAAGGAGGCACTTTCTGCAGTGATATGGAATGATGTCCAGATGGGATAAGCACACTTACATTAACTTGTTTTTGCATAAAGAAGCACAGCAGGGTTTGTAAGAAGCGCTAATAAAAATTGTTTCCTATGTAGGAGTGGAAGCTGGTAAGGGACAGATGGGCCTGGCTTAGAGAAAAACTCTTCTGCATATGTCTTTTATGAATAGTTTACATTTTTAATAATGCAGGCATAATAATATCTACTAAAACAAATATGTTTATTTTTAAAATACACATCAGTATAGGGCCATAGTGCAATCATGTATCCTATTTACCCAAAGGAGTTCTGGTTAAAGCCTGCTGTCTCCAGATAACTATTGACAGTGTCCTATTCATTTTTAAAAATATTGGGCTTTACAACCCAAGTGCCCAGTGATGGAGGAGTAGATTAAGAAGATGTGGCATATACACACGATGGAAGACTACTCAGCAAAAAAATAAATAAACTCTTGTCTTTCGTGACAACATGGATAGAGCTGGAGGGATTATGCTAAGTGAAGTCAGTCAGGAGAAAAACAAATACTGAATGATTTTATTCATATGTGAAACAGAGAAAAGTGAAACCAAGGGCAGGAAGAAAGCAGGAGAGGGCCCAGCGGTTTAGGGCTCAGTCCCTGCTTCTGTAGGAGTGTTGCAACCTTGGAGTCAAAGCCCCTAAGCAGAAAGGAATGTGGAGTGTGCTGAAGCCACTCCCTTTAGCAGACAATGAGTTGGGAAATCATGGTGAGGGGGTGATTCACCCACTGGGGTGAATCTGGGGTTGAATCCAAATTTCTTTACTATGATTCTGTAACTATTTTATTTCTATTTTTACAGAAAAACAATTAAAAATCATTTAGTAAAAAGAACTCATGATCCCAGTGACCTGTCTGCCATGTCCTAGTCCTGTCTTCATCCTAAGGAGCTGAGCCTCCTGCCCCAATCCCCTCAACTGAGAGCAAAAGGGTAGAGCTGAATCATCTCAGCAGAGAAACTGGATGGGGAGCCATGGGAGAAAAGAGGGAGTAGAAGCGGCTAGGACTTGGAGTTCCCCTTCTAATTTCTGTTTCAATCTGTTTTCCACTTTGTACTTCTCTGCTACATATACTACATGCTAACACTGCGAATTAGTAAATGTGGGATCAGATGAATTCCTGGTATCTTTCCTGATATTTCTTTCCTGAAATATCAGGAAAGCTGACTCTGCTGCCGGCGGGGAGGCACAGCGATTGCTGAACTAACATGAAGAAGGCAGGACAATTCCAGGTCCAGGTCACCTGCCGGTTGAGCAGACATAGACCAGGTGCCTTCTGAATATACAGCTCCTGCCATTGTCTTCAGAGTGGACAAGGCTAGGCTGCAGGTGTGGGGATTGAGGAGAGGACTTTAGGCTGACTGACGGCCTAATTTCAGTAAAACTGGTCGTGGTGAGGGGTAAAGAGAATGGGGAAATTGCTGCGGGTGATTACTGTCTAACCCGGAAGCTGGGTGCTCTATTGTTGGCACTGCAGATGAAACTGCAGCTGGGGACTGGAGATGGTAATATACCTAGACCCTGTAACTGGGTGCTAATTGAATACTGCAACTCAGTATGTAGCTGGGTAATATAATTAGGTATTGTGACCGGGTATGGGAATGAGCGTGGTAGCTGGGAGCTATAAGTGGCACTGGAACTGAATGTTGTAACTGGCTGCTGTACCTGTGTACTCTAGGAATCTGAAAATGGGAGTTCAAGTAGATCCAGGTGCCACGTCGAATCAGATGTCAGAGAAGGTAAAGTTAGGGTGACAATGTCCTCTAACATTTCCTGACTGTTGTCTTTAATGCCTCTCCTATTTATCCCCTTTCTTTCCACCCTCTCTGGACTCTTAGTGGTTACTGAACCCACCTCCTTCACATGGCCTATGCTGTTCTTTCATCCTCACGGGTTCCTGGTCCTCTCTCCTCATCAAGGTATCATCTTCTGAGTCTCAGATGTTCATGCACAAGTTCACATGCACACTTTAGGGGACAACCTATAAATGGTGTCACTGCTGTGACTGTTGGGGGGAAAGGATGTCTTGAGCAAATTCCATACAGGTTTTGTGGACTCCACCCTCACGACACTGGAAACTACAAATCCCATGATCACCAAAAGGAGGGTTGCTGGACTCTGAGGGTGGAGTTAAGCAGCCATATTTGGGTATGTAACCAGCCATGTGGCCAGGGGTCACTCTCTTGGCGTCACAGTGCTTGGCTTTTCGCCAGCTCTCAGCTGGTCATTGGGATTCCAGGTCAGTGGAATGGGTGGACACATTCACAAATTTATCTCCCTCTTTTTCTCCCTGAGTTACTCATTTCTTCATTTCCCCTTCTCTTGTAAATAAACTTTTTTTTTTTTAAAAAGATTTATCCACTTATGCATACAAGAGCTGGGGTACAGGCCAGTGATGAGAGGGGGTGAGAAGATTCACCAGAAATAGAGTGGGGAGTGGAACAGGCAGACTGAAACACACTGCTGAGGGGAGAAGCGGGCGAGACAGGAGAGGTCTGCTTCGCCATGTGCGTTTCCTTCTGGCCGGGGATTAAACTCATGCTGCAGAGGCCGCGGATAGCTTCATAGTGCTGCGCTTAACCCCTTGCGCTACCAGAGAGGCCCCCGTAAATAAACTTTTTATTAAGCTTTTGTGTGTGCCTGCAGTTTAACATTAGTAAGTCCCTTTTAAGTGTGCAGGTGAGGACCCACAGCCAGGCAACCCGTTTCATATCTGGGTTGTCCTGTAACATGACTACTGATTTACTGGTGGTGAATATATAGGCATTGAATTAAATTACTGGTGGCTGATCATGATGGGCTGAGAGATTAGGCCACTGTGAACGTCATTTCAACTGATCTTAATTGAAACGTCTAGAAATCCCCTCCCTCCCTGTGGCCCCAGACCGTTTTGGGTGAGTGCCTAGGCCTCAGGCAGAATAATGACAAGGATCTTGTCCTGCCTCAGTGGGGGCACCACTAAAATGTGGGGTACTGGTTAAGTGTTACAGTTCTGAGCCAGTGTTTTGGGTTGGAGGGAATTCTGCCTGTGGGAAGAGTCCAGTCAGCATAGGCACCTCTGCCCAGAAGCCCGACAGCGTTACCAGAATTTCAGATTTCAGGTCTAGTCTCCCAGCCACTCATGGGCTGGTGTCTGATGAAACTGCAGCAGGATCTTCGCTGACACTCAGGCAAGCAAGTGAAAAAGGGCAAATTTGTTTAGAGAAATAGATGTAAGGAAAAGTTGATTAAGGAGAAAGGAACAGAAACAAAGTCAGACTCCCAGGCCCGTGGAACCAGGCCAGCGAAGGGCAAGTAAGCCACAGTGGGTTCATGCCTCAGGGAATAATGTAACTAACGAGCATCTGAAAACATAGCATATGCAATGGAAACAAATGACCAAAAATGAAACTAACAAAATTAAGGTGCCTGCCAGCACCATGCCTGGAATGTACAAGAATGACTTGCAAACGGATGTTAGTCACCGTCACATATCCTGAGGGTTGTGCCAAGGTATAGCAGATGTTAACTGACCCCACCAGGAAGTAACGGATGTTACTTGGTCGTGCCAGAGACACGTCTTAAGAGAAGGCTATATATACTGGTGCTGACAGCAGCCAAATCAGAGAAGTTCACAGACTGGCTTGAGCGTAACCCTGGACAAGGGCTAGCTGCTTGCTCCCTTTGGACTCCATCTGCTCTCCAGCCACACTCTCTCTGTGAGACCCACTCTGTGTGACCATCCAAACTTCGGCCCTCAAGCCTAGAGATTTCCACGACCTGGTGAACTGCGCTGGCAGAACATCAGACTAAGACACGTCGCTCTGCAGCTTTGGTTGAAGGTACTTTGGGTACATTGGGTTGGCTTTTCCTGTTTGATTAAGTGTTAGAGTGACAGCATAAATAAAATTCTCCTTGAGAGCCAACCTCTGACTGAAGCCTGCTTCTTGCTCGTGATATATATACCTTATCTCCCCAATTATTCTAAGACCCCGTCAGTGTCTTTGTGGTTGGTTAGTTCTCAGTGTTTTCACTCACTCTGTTTTAATGTCTCTGTGCCCAAAATTATATTCATCTTGCATCCCAGCCCTTATCTCCCTTATCTTAGAGTCTTTTTTTTTTTTTTTTTGTCATTGTCTGGGAATATCCTGTTAATCCTTCTTGGAATTTGCTATCCTTATCTCTGGAGACTTCCTTATTCCTTCCAGATTTTTTTATTCTATTTTGACCCTAGCAGCTATCCACTTGCCCTGTGATTCAACAGCATGAGATGACCCTGTAAAGCTGTGAGCAGCAGTTGAAATTCACACCATGCTTCATAGTTAGGGCACACACAGTGGGACCCCACATCCTTGACCAACCTAGGCTTTTGCCTCCGCTTTCCTTGGGTCAGACAGAGGACCTTGGGCCCATTGCTGCTGTATCCTTGCCACAGAGTCTGTTTCAAGGGCCTACATACCTCCATATCCCACAGGAAAGCCTGAAGCAGACCCATCCAGCTAGAGAAATCCTCTTACCAAACTTATCTTTGGAGCAACTCAGGGGAACTGAGAAAGGCACTAGCTAACAAGCTTGCTAATGAGCAGGCAAACAAGCTGCCTGGGGGTGAAGTGGGAACTGCTCCCAGGAGAAGAGGTGCCTGTTAATGAAGCACAGCTTCAACTTCAGTAATTACCAGCATTTTCTCTGCAGAGACCTCCCCTGCCTGACTTACAGAGCAGGGCACTTTGGGGAAGCCCCAGTTTCCTCCTCTTGCCTTTCTCAATTAACACTAATTGGGAACATGAGAACACAGACCAGAATGTCAAAAAAGGTCCCCTACACTAGACCTTCTAGGAATCCTCTCCCTAGCCCTGGTCAGCAGACACCAGCCCCCCAGCTTTCCTGAGTCTTATGGAAGATCCCGTTTCCTATACTCTTAGGTGGCACAGGGGGCAAGGGGTGGCAGGTGCAAATAGAAGTCAGAGGACCTATGTGGACATCCAGTCCCTGCCACTAACTCTGACACAGGGTGGGCCACACATCTTCCCTGCTCTCTATTTTTAAATAAATAAAAGTACAGTGACTGGACTTCATGGACACATGATACAGTTTTTGTTCTGCTACCAGGGTAACAGCACCAAGAATCAAGAGCAGCAGCCTTACTTCTGCTTTAAAAATAAGTTTCTTGAGTGTGAAGGAAGTGAAGGGAGAAGTAAAAATAAGAGAGTAAGATAAACATGTGCCCCAAGAGGTAACCCCCCCCCCCAAAAGAAGAGGGTGTATACCATCCAAGGTCACACAGAGGAAGGTCTTGCTATATTTGTTTGATCTTTAGAGCATTTTTTCTAAACCGCCAACTCCTTTTTAGAAAAAAAAAAAACTATCATCCCCTTTTAGAAAAATAATATAACAATTCTATCACCTGCTTGTTGGCATATTCAACCACACACACAAGTCACATACTTCGTGACTATCAGACGCCACCAGAAAATCAGAAACTATTTGCTCCCAACCTGTGGTTTGTCTTCTCATTCTCTTGACAGTCTTTTGCAGAACTATAGTTTAATGGTGTCCATCTTGTCAAGTATTTCTTTCATAGGTCATGCAGTTAGCTTCTAAAGAGTCATAAACCTAAGTTCATCTAGATATTTCTCCTGTGTTACCTTCTAGAAGTTCTGTCTTTGAGTGTTTTACATTTAAGTCTATGATCCACTCTGAGTTAATATTTGTGAAAGGTATAAAATTTGGTCTAGATTCTTCTCTCTTTTTTTGCATGCAGATGTCCAGTTGTTCCAGCACCATTGTTTTGAAAATACTATCTTTGCTTAATTGTTTGTTTTCCTCCTTTGGCAAAGATCAAATGAGTATATTTATGGGGTTCTATCCCTGGGATCTTTATTCTATTCCATTAATCTACTTGACTATTCATTGCCAATGCTACACTATCTTGGTCACTGCAGTTTCATAGTAAGTCTGGAAGTCAAATAGTGTTATCCTCTGACTTTGTTCTTCTTTTCATTATTTTGTGACTGTTTAAGTTACTTTAGCCACTGCCATTTTTCCTTGTTCAGAATGCTCCACTTTCTAAATAAACATTTTGAAATTTTCATTGTACAAGTCTTTTGCCTTCTTGGTTAAGTTTATTCATTGTTTTGGAAAACATAGATTAATTGCTTCTTAATTTCCTTTTCAATTTGTCCTTGGTTTGTATATAAAGATGGTACTGAGGGTCTCCCTGGTGGTGCAGCAGTTGAGCACTGGGCTGCGAAGCTGCCAACAGCCTCTGCAGCGCCGGTTTGATCCCCGGCCACCGGGGAGGGTCCCACATGGCGCGCAGACTTCTCTCTCCAGTCTTGCCCGCTGCTCCCCTCAGCAGTGTGTTTTGTCAGTCTCCCTGTTCTGTTTCCTGCTCTGGCTCTGGTGAATTCTCTCACCCTCCCCTGCTTCTGACTGTACCCAGTGCTTGTATAAACAAACAAACAAGCAAAAAAGATGGTACTGATTTGTATGTGTTGATTGTCCTGCAACTTTGCTGAATTCATTTATTGTTTCTAGTAGTGAACTCACAGTATTTTCTGTATATAAGATCATATTGGTTTGAATTGATATTTGTGTATGGAGTAGGTTGGGGCCCAATTTCATATTCTTCCCTATGGATTTCCAGTCTCCCTAACACCATTTGTTGAAGAGACTATGATTTTCCATTGTGTACTGTGGGCAACTTTGGCAAAAATTAATTGATATATATTCATGGGTTTATTTTGGACTCTATTTTGTTTTATAGGTCACATATCTGTCTTTATGGAAGTATATTGTTTTAATTACTATAGTCTTATAATACATTTGAAAATCAGACAGTGTAATATTTCAACTTTGTGTAATATTTCAACTTTGCTCCTCAAAATTATTTTGGCTTTTCTGGGTTCTTCTGAGATTTCATATGAGATTTAAGATTGTTTTTTCAATCTCTGTGGAAGATATCATAGCGATTTTGCTGGGGATTCATTGACTCTTCAGTTAGTTTTGGGTGGTAGAGACTTGTTAAAATCATTAATTCCTTCAGTCTTCCAATCCATGAAAACAGACGTTCATTTATTTGCTTCTTTAAATTCTTTCTTCAATGTTTTTCAATTTTCATTGTTTAAGTCTTTTGTATACTTGGATAAATTTATTCCTAAGTATTTGATTCTATTTGATACTATTATAATGAGATTTTTTTTTTAATTTCCTTCTTGAATAGTTCATAGATAGTATTTAAAAGCGCAACTAATTTTTGTATATTAACTTTATATCCTCCAGCTGTACTTAATATGTTTATTCATGCTAGCAGTTTTGGTGAAGACTTTAATATTTCCTGAAAATAAGATCATGTCATCTGCAAACAGATAATTTTATGTTTTATACTTTGAAGTATAAAACCATGTTGTTAATTGAAATCTTCTTTCTATATGCAAGAGTTTACACCTATAAAATTTCTTCGTAGCACTGCTTTCACTATACCCTGTAAAATTATATTTTGTGCTTTAATTTCACTTCTCTGAAGAGAAAAGTTCAGATACTGGAACTCTTTGCCAAAAAAAAAAAAAAAAAAAAAACCCAAAAAACAAAAGAACAACTTTGTTTCATTTTTTTCTTACTATGACTAAGATATTTACAGGAAAGACACAGTGTATTTTCCCGACTGAGGGAGTCCAAATCTAAGAATAATGATGGGTGGAGTCTCTGAACGGTTTCAAAACTAACATATACAGGGAAGAATCTGTTTCTTTCCCTGACTGTGGGTATCCAAATCTAAGAATATTGATGGATGGAGATTCTGAATTGTTCTGGAACTTCTCTCACTCTGGGATTTTATAAGTCTTTTCATAACTCTTTTTGCACTGTGTGAAGAAATCAAATCTGGTTCATTTTTTAAGTGACTCAAATCAGTGCCATTTTCCTTGTTATCTTTCAAAATACTTCATTCTCTTAGGCTTTAACAAGATTATAACATCCTAGAGTTCTTTCTCTAGATTGTTTCACCAATGTATCTTTCTATTAGTTCAAAACAATCATATCTGCAGTTCTGAAAAATTCACAGACCTCGGCCATATATGTTCACACACACACAGAGGTGGAGCAGGGAGGAAGAATTGAGGAATTAGAGGAAATTCAGGCAGAAGGTTATACCTCAAGACTAGAATAAAAGGAAGTGTGCTGTCATAATCTTATGTGTTTGTGACATACTCTGAAATCTAAACTTGTCAGCCTCTTCTGCTACAAAAATCACAGAAAATATCTAAAACTCATTCAAATATCAATGACAACTAGTCTAAAAAATATATTTTCATACATTATTGCGGCAGCCTCTGCCCCTGAACGTATGTGAACTTACTGGAAAAAGGGAGGCTTTTACTCAGACACAGAGTATGTCAGAGTAAATAAGACCCCCTTCCCCTGTGCGCTGGACTGGACAGTCAATGACGGGTAAGATTGGGGGCAGACGAGATATGGCACTGGCCACATGTCTGTGACTCCTGACGACCTAAGACAGACGCAGTCCCCGAGGGGTTTCATCTTTTGTTCTTACGCTATCGCTATGAAATTCTTCGGCGTTCGATTCAGGCAAATGCCTGTAAACCCGCAGTAATAAACCCCTCCTTTACTTGAAAACATGGTTGCTGCCGAGCGTCATTAAGAAATAAGCCTGATGGATTTACCTGCAAAGCAGTTTAACTATTAACCAGTTGGCCATTGTTCATTTACTGAATCTCTTTCTGACTCAATTCGTTCTCTTACTCCGTCCCACTGGCTGTCTTTTGTATTTTCTTTTGGCATTCTCACACTGTTTGTTCTTGTGCTGTGTGCCCTGTTTCCTGTGAGTTTTCGTCTGTTTCTACGTGCAGTTTCGATGGTGAAACTGTTAGGGGGAAATGATGTCCTGAGTTAATCCCATACAGGCTTTGTGGACTCCACCCCCACTTCAGACTAAAGCCATTAAGACATTGGGAAAGACAAATCCCATCACCACCAAAGGGAGGGTGGCTGGGACCTGAGGGTGGAGTTGGGCAGTCAGGTTGGATATAAAAACCAGACATGTGTGCTCGCCTTCTGGTTTTACCATTCCTGGCTGGCGGCCAACTCTGAGAGCGCCATTTTGGGATTCTTGATCGGCGGATTGGGTAGGACTCATTTAAAATTTTGTTTTTTACTTTTTTTCCAGAGCTGTACATTTTTTTTATTTGTTCTTTCCTTGTAAATAAACCTTTTATTAACCTTTCGCATGTGCCTGCAGTAGAGCATTGATAAGTCCTTTTAAGCGCGCGGGTGAGGACCCACAGTCAGGCACCCCGTTTTGTATCGGGGTTGCTCTACAACAAAACGAGATACCTATGCAATGTAGCTTAAATAAAAAATTAAAGGGGGAGCTGCAGGACCCCCTCCCGCGAAAGAACTTAGGTGAAACCAATCTGGTCCTTGTTCAGCACGGTCAAGGCGCTGAGCACGCGGGAGGGACACGCTGCACCTGCTCCCCCAAGAAGATTGCTGCAGATGACGTATCAGATGCTAAGAAGATTGAATGCCATAAACACAATGTACCTGCCGTTCCTGCCATAGCAACAACTACCCTCTGTGTTTCCACATACCCTCTTGCTGACCTCTGTAATTTTAAATGTTTTTTCTTCCTTGTATTGCTTTTATTCTCCTAAATTAAGGTATAATGGTGTAATGAGTCAAAAGTTACTGCTTAATGTATAACCACAAAAAATTCGGCTACCTGATATCCAGTTAACAAACAAGTTGACAATTATATATGAATAATAATATAGCAACTTCCTCCAACAGTCAACACATCCCTTAAAATAATCATAAATAAAAAACACTTGTTGGCAATATCCTTAAAATAACCCTAATTAATATATATAAGCTTGCAAGCTTTTAATTAATACCAATCAACCTAATATAAAATATTAAAAACAGTTAAATAGGCGGCCCGTTCCCAAATAATAATAATAATAGTACTTATAATTATAGGGTATAATCAAATAACTAGTTTAACTGGTTTAGGCAGGAACTATATTCTAACCACAGAGAATGTAATCCATGATCAATCATTAGTTAAAATATAACTTGTTGTAATTCTAAGTCTATTATATCTTGTGATTGTATTCTGTTGAGAAAGAATATCATGTCAATCATTTCTATGGCAAGAAATTGTATGATGTAATGCTTTAAGAAATGTATAAAAATGTATGTTGATTTTGAGCACATTACAGTCAGATGTTCACTCTTGAAGTGTGTCTGTCTGTCATTCTTTTGCCGAATCCTTGACCACCCTCCTCAGTCTCTCATCCCTGGGTCGGCCTTGCTAGTCTACCGCTGCGCTGGTCCGCAGCACATTATGAAAAAAAGATTATGGTGGGTGATACTGGTAAAACCTCATGATCTATAATTCCTTTTCATTTCTTTTCTCTTTCCTTGTACATAATGAATAGATAGTTCAATGCAGATAAGAAACTGCATAACTCCAAATAATTAGATTTGCATCAAGTCCCAACCTGATGTGGACTCTTCATTGAGGATTTTGAGTGATCTTCTCAAATAATACTGGAGATAATAGGAGATTACACAGGTTTTTGCAGGTACTTTCCCCTTAAGAATCCTCTTAGTTCCTACTTGACTCAATTCCCAATTGGCTCAAATATTATAACAACGAAGTATTGTGAATTTTAGAAGAACAATGATCAGTATTCTTCTGGAAGAACTGAGTGCCTATTAAATCACTTAATATCTGTGATGCCCAAATCACCAATCATTTGACCACTGAAAGTCAGGAAAAGGGCATATTTTTCCATTTCTTTGTTCCATCTTTTAAAAATTTAGAAAAGACATGGTGATTTAAGAGCATTGTTCTGACTTTCCTCTGTTTGGTCAGTTACGTGGGTGCATTCTGCTGAGAAACAACAGCAAGAATCACTCCACATAGTTAGCTTCTGGTAACAGGGGAGGGAAATGCTCTCACTTGTGGTCATTCTTGCTAAGTGTCCTCTGCCTCCTGGTCTCTGGATTGGGAGCCTTTTTCTCCTGAATGTCCCTCTCTATCCTTTACATCAAGTCAGCTCACATAGTCACACAAGTAGAACTCCAGTCTATCATCAAGAATGATGGAAACCCACCAGTTTGGGGGGCACTCACACCAGAACTAACTTGATTTTCAGGTACATTCTCTGCAATTCAGGCATATTTTATGTTCATACATTGACTCTTTCTGCCTAAATCTAGTTCAAATACACAGTAAGTTTTCTTCTCCCTTCAGATGACTTTAAATCATCTAGTAAATGTAGCAGTTTGGGGACCTTTTCCATTCCATGGATTTGTCCTTCCTGCAGATCAAGTGGTGGGCTTCCACATTGCTATCTGGGAATGGTTTCATTTATTTGATATCTCCAAATTGTATGCATGGTGCCACATAGGAAAATGCTATAGAAAAAAATATGAAGTCCTCAACCCTTCTAGAAGCTCAGTGTGTTCTTCCAGAATTTGTAGGATTCATTGCTATCATGATAAGCCCATCACTCACTGTTGTTGCTGTAAATAATTTTGACAGGCAAGAGTAATTATGAAATTGAATCATAGACATAATGGACCCTGGTCTTTGTCAAGAAAATAACTGCAAAATTCATTTCCAAATCACTGGGAAAAACTTACATGTAAATAATGATTTTATGCCTCTGGAATGCCAACTATTAATAACTATATAAATGCATTGCATATTATTGAAACCACAAGCAACTTCATAATCTTTCTCCATTTAAGATGTGTACCCACATCCTGGTAGAGATACATGCCTCTATCTACATCTCCTCCCACCACTGCCCCCTGGGGCAGGTAGGAAGAAACCCATTGGCTGGTCTTTCCCCTTTGAGATTAGAATCTCCCTTAAGGGACATTGGTTGGTATCTACTAATCCACATTTAAGTCTGATGATAGCAAAGTTCTAATGTTGTAACTCCATTCGGTGATTTGTATAAATAGACTCATTAATTAATGATTTCGCTCCTATTTTTCATTTGTAAGATGTATATAGCAAGACTATTCAGTTTCTCTGGCTGTGAAAATATAAAACTAGGAATGCTGAATGGAGGGAATCTCAGAATTGCTTCATAACTTCTCTCTCTGGGGATGTTGCTCAGTATGAGGTAACAGCACTGGCCAAATTATCAAGTGACTCAGTGTTTTCTTAGCATTTCAGGGGATTTTCACATCCTGCAATTCAATCTCTAAGAGCTTGCTTCACTCATCTTTCTTTTCACTCTAGCAAAACAAATATTACATTTCTGAAGAAGATTTGGGATCTGGACTTCTGTGGAAGGAATTTCAATAAGGTGAGTCTTGAGGGATTTTTGTAGAGAAGATCTGGTTACTCAGCATTTACGAGATCATAGCAGGAGGCTCAATTTTTTGAGTCTTCCCGAAGGAGTGAGAGTGGTATCCACATATTCAGAGAAATGAAAGCAACAGTAACTTGATTCCATCCTCACCTTCCTTGGAAGATCACAGACATTTTTCATTTTGCTACAGCTGAGGTCTGAACAGAGCAAAATGCATTTTGACTGTTGGGATTTTTAAATTCATACTTTGGGTGTTTCCAGCAGAGTAGTGAATATTGAACTGAGCTTTGGTCTTCTTGCCTAGATAGTGTGGAGGAGACTTAGTGGTTGTGATGGGAGTCTGGGCAAAAAGCAAGGTATGACCTGAAGAAATAGTAAGTAAAAGACACATCTGGACAAAACTGTATTCTACAATATTAGAGAGTCAGGACAATGCACAAATTGTGAAATTACTCTTTCACAAACAGTTACTCAAATGCATGATATCTAAAAATTTTCTTAAGTGCTTTAGCTCCATTCTAGACCAGCTGCTGGAGGCACTATTTCATGTCTTTAAGGACTAGCTCCTTGCTTCCTTCAAAGTCAGAGGTAAACCTTGGTAGTGAGAGTTTAGAGGAAAGAGGCACTTAAAACAGTTAAATCTATGCCTACCTTTTGAAATGCTTTAATCTCTATGCATATAAGCATTCCATGTGTTTTTGAGAGGAATGTGAAATTTTAAACATTGGTTTCAGAATTCTCTAAAAGTTAGATGAATATTTTTATTTAAATTTAACTGTGTGGCTCAATTTTTCTAAATATTTTCTCACTTTTTCTTTTGCTTTGTTCGTTAATTAGTATATGCTAAAATCTCAAACTAGTCATGCTTTTGTTACTTTTTCCTGATTATCCTCTCATTTTCTAATATAAATGTTATATATGTATGTATAGTAAAAAAAAGAAAAATACAAAAAATTTTATAATATGAAAGACTGTAAATTAATAACAATGTATACCTATTATTATTAGTTAAATACAGAATTAACACTGTGGCATCTTTCCATAATATAAAACTGTTATCATTGGGTAGTGAAAATCCAATCTAAAGAAAGTTTTTGTCTTGGGTTTGTTTAATACTACACCAATACACAGATACTGCTTTCTTCAATGTTTGTTTGAGAAAACTTTTGACAACTCTTTTTTAAAAACTTGTAGTTACCTTTGCTCTACATCATGTAGGTAGTTTTTTTTTTTTTAATCCAGTTTTGAAATTTGTAATTTAGTGATTTTAGCACTTTATAAGTATTGGGTGAAATGCTGTGTTTTGCCTTGTTTGTTATATTTATCTATGCATTCTTCCTCTTCTTATTTGACAATAGTTTTGAATTTTATAGCTCTATCTTCTGCATAAGGACTAGTCACTAGTGAACACTCACTTCCTCTTTTCTTCCCAACTCCACACATCATTTTGATCTGTTCCTCTTTCATTTCCCTTTGTTCAGGACATGACTTGTTTTTAAAAACACTGAAAGACTTAATCAAGGTCTTGTTCATGAAAAGTGTTGGGCAGGGATCTCTGCTCCAAATCTGATTGCAACAGAGTTGACTCATCTAGAGTTTACCACATTTGACTGCCATTTTGGCAAGACATATAATTTCTATTTTCAAAATTATTTTTCTTTTATAAAACTCTGCAAGCTGACCAAAGACCTGAAGCAACAGCAGGGAAGGAGGAAGGAGAGCAGTCAAAAAGAAGGGAGGAAAGAGCACAAGGGACTGTGGTGATGGCTCATGGGTGCTCTGGTGGTAGAAGAATTAGGGACTGTATCTGAAGGGAGAAATAAAATCCTGTTACATAATAACAATGCTGTAAATAAAAAGAAAAATACCAGATGGTCTCACTCATAGCAGGAATTTAGAAAACCTAAATAAGGGACCAGGAAAAAGACTAATTATAATAAAGTAAAAATCAGAATCAACAAGCAACTATAAACGAGAGACACACTATTAGGGGGTGGGGGGAGAAGGGAAGGGATTAGGGTCAAAATAAGGGAGATGGAACTGTATGGGGAATATAAGCAAAATGAAAATGCATACATTGTGCAAAAATGAAAAATGATCTAAGAATTATATAAAATAAATTAATAAAAAATCAAAAAAAAGAAAATAAATAAAATTTTTAAAAATATTATTTTTTTCAATTTTGGTTGACAGTACCTCTCTGAAACCTTATGGTCACATATGGGCTGGTGTTCAGAATTTGACTAAAGAGAGGTTATGTAAGCCATAGCCCATCTAGAGAGCCAGGGATAGGTGGCCTGTTAGTATCTAGGTCCTAATTCACATGGCAAATGCACTCACATTTCTGTAGCAAGACATGTGAACTTTAACATTAAAGTGGCATTTAAAAAAATATATGTAGATTCCACCCAAAGGACACAAAAACAGTGATAAAAAAGAGCACCTGTACACCTATGTTTATTACAGCACTATTTACAATAGGTAAAATCTGGAAACAACCCAAATGCCCAAAAATAGATGACTGGATCAAGAAGATGTGGTATATATACACAATGGAATATTATTCAGCAATCAAAAAAGATAAACTCATGCCATTCGCAGCAACATAGTTGGAGCTAGAAGGAATTATGCTCAGTGAAATAAGCCAGAAGGAAAAAGAAAAATATCGGATGGTTTCACTTATAACAGGAATATAGGGGAACCAAATAAGACATCAGTGTAAAAATATTAATAATAATAACAGTACAAAACACAACAAAGCAAAAACAGACAATTATAAACCAGAGACATCCTGCAGGGGAGGAGGAGGGAGAGGGTGAGAGGGATGGAGGGAGGAGCCCAGGGGACTGTGGTGATGGTGCACAGGTGCCTTGGGGAAGGAGATTCTATGGGGACTCAATCTGAGGGGGTGGGGGGGAAGCAAATATTGTCTAAAAAATGTACAAAATGATAAATGTTAAAATAAAAAAATGAAAAAGAAAAAAATAAAAAACTGGATTCCTGTCAATTCACATCAGGTATTTTTCTAATAAATGTTGTCTCCAAATTATCACACAGGTGTGTGTACAGACATACAACTTTGGATTTCATATTTTGGGGAGATTTCAAAAGTGAAGATTGGAGCAAATACCATACAAAACACTTCTATGCAGTTTTGCCATTGAGAATCTGATTTTGAACATTTGTAAATGATTTACTCTTTTTCTCTGGGAGCTGTTAAATTTTTCTTATTGATTTTAGACATTGTCTACACTAACTCTCTCCTCTTTGACCCTCTCTTGGCCTGAAGATATTCTTGTATCTGAAGATGTTCATGTTGCTTTAATTCCAAAAAGTTTATATCATTATTTTTTCAAATATTTGCTCCTTTTCATTTTGGTTTTCACAACAAATAATGTGGATATTAACACTTTGCCCTGAATTCTAATGTGAATTCTGTTTTGTTTTCTATTTTTTATTTCTTAATTCCATCCTATTTTCCTTGTTGGGATATCTTCAATCTGATCTTAGATATCAATCATTTATATTTTCATTGTATCCATTGAACTATTGAGTCAGATTATTATGTTCCAGGAGCCAAATCTTCTGAACTGCAAAGTGTAAGCTCTAAGCATTCATTCTGACTGTGGAGTGAATATGCTGAGAGAAGATATTGGAGAAAAAATGATGCAATTGTCATTTTCCACAAGTGATGATTCTCTTAAGCTGTATTATATTCCAAGTTCAGGACGCTACATGGAAAACTATTCTGTGTAAGCATTTCCATATGATAGGATTCAGGATGAGTATGTTTGCATAATTTGGCAGACTTTTAAATTAAATCTGATTAATTTCATGAAGACCAGGTATTTTCTACTCTCGAAGAAGAAAGGTAAGAAGTGTATTCCATGAGAAAGTCTAGAACAGCAAAATATGCTATATATTTCTGGAGTTTAACAATGAAAAATGGAAAGTGGGAGAAGTAAGAAAGAGATTTTTTCAAAGCCTTCCAAGTCAGGCTAAAGATCAAGGACTTCTCCTTTCAAAATGGGGAATGACTGAAGGCTTTCAAGTAAGCTAAATATGTGGTTTACAGAGAGAAAACCGGAATGATGAAAATAACTGAGTAGAGAAATCAAACCTAGAAGGAGGAAATTCAAGTGACTATTGAAATAATTCCAGACAATAAATGCCATGATCCTGCACCAGGGAATAGGGAGAAGTGTAGTTGAAGGCCAGGATAGACTCAAAGGGCACACAGACTATGGGCCAAGCCCAGGGAACAAGGATGATGCTGAGAGCTGAGTAGGGAAGCCCCACGTGCCCTGGGTGAGTCCTAGCATGGAGCCCAAACCCTGGCTGAAGGGCACTCACAGGAGCAGCCCATTTTGCACAGAGGTCCTTTGGTCAGAGTGGCAGAAAGAATCGGGAAGCAGAAACTGCCATTCGGGGAGACAGCAGCGCCCATAAGAAACAGGAGACGAGCCAGGGACTCTGGCATTACCTTCTCACACTCCACCACTCTAGGATGGCTATTTCCAGTCCTCCTTCTCCACCCCCACCCCATCCCAACTCAGCATCTAAAAGGAAAACTTTTTTCAACTTCCTAATGCAAGGTTGTTAACCAATTTAAAAGGTGAAAAGGCAACCTGTATAACATTGATATTAGATAATGGTGGCTACCAATAGCCACACGCATACAAGTTTTCAATGATCTCAAGTGTCTTTGGGGGTGTTTTGAGAGCACAAGTCACATTGTTTCTTCCTAAGAAATTGTGCTATTAAAAGAAGGAGATACAAAACTCTCTGTTCTAAAGTGGCTCAGGTAAGGCTGTCCAGTCAGGGCTGTGTCCTCTGCCACACATTCATGGCATTTCTCAAGGGGTGGGATGCTGACAGGTAAACAGAGGAAGGTTTGTTGCCTCTTGCCACTTAGGTGTGGGCCCCGCGCTCACACAGACACCACTGCGCTCTAAGTGGTCTGTATACACATGTGACCCTTTCTCTTGCAGGCTCAGCTGTCCCTTGAGAGATGGGGGATGAATATAAGCGTATCATTTTGGTGGATGGATTACATAACATCAGTGATGATCATTTTGAGATGATTAAGTCTTTACTGAAAAAGGATTTAAACCTAACTTCGAAAATGCAGCAAGAATATAACAGAGTTAAAATTGCTGATGTGATGGAAGCAAAATTCCCAGGGGCTGTTGGTGTAGAAAAACTAATAAAAGTGTTCAAAAGCATACCAGAACTTAAAGACCATGCTAAAGAACTTCTAAAGAAGAAGCAAAATGGTAATTTAAAAAATCTCATGCGCTTCCAGTTGGCATCCCCTTGTAATTAATGCATCGCTTTCTCAGTTCATGCCTAGCCGGTGTCAGCAATGCAGAATCAACAAGTTGACAATGTAGGGCATCCCCTTCCCCAAGAAGTGGATTGACATGCATCAGAGGTCATTTTTGAGGTGGAGATGAACAGCAAAAGGAGGAGTTGATAAGAGGCTGAAGCTCCCAATACATTAGAAATGCTAGAAAATGACAAAGTAATTTAAAAATTGTGGTTCATTTAAAAAGATTTAGGCTAAATCACTTAATGCTTTTGCCCTATTAATACTGTTTGCTCCATGTTCATTATCACCTTGGTAACAAGATGTAGCAGTAGTACTTAACATAAGTACTTAGCAAGAGAGTTGTGAGAACTCATTCTTTGTGAATTACTGGGCAAAGACAAACATTTTATAAAGACACAGGCTGATAGTGCCGTTGTTGTCACCTCACATCTATATTGTATTTTTCCACTGGTTTCTGTAATTTTAGTAGCTCTTTTCTAGAACATGATTGACCAATCAGCATGATGAAAACCATGGAATTTTAAAAGGATGTGACAAGGGAGCAGGGCTGGGAGGGACTTAACTGAGGTCCATGGGAATCCAGAGAATGGAGGGGCTTTCTCTCTGCTGGAGAGTGAGAAAGAAACCACTGAGGAACGTGAGAAGGTGCCCTGCTGTGCTGTGGGTCCTGCAGCCATGCTGGCTGATGCTTAGAAGAAGGCTCAGCAGACCTAATCCCAGGAGACCTAAGCCACGAATGGGAGATGGGAGGATATAACATTGAAACATGTGGCCTTAGACCACTTGCTCAGGGATGACATGCCCTTCTTGTTTGTGTGTCAGTTGCAAACAAGATAAGAAAAATTGGAAAAACTCCAGAGAAAAAGAAGAAACCGGAAAAAGCAGATCCTGCCATCCCTGCTAACCCAGCAAAGGACAGTCTGACATCCGGAGGTCCAAATGCAACTACTGAGGCTCAGGTAAGCATGAGGCATGGGAGCAGCTGGAAGCCCCGGGAAAAGGACTCCACTCAGGTACTTGGCTCTTTATTAATATTCCAGAAATTCAGATATGCCAAATTGAGCAAGGCACAACAAAAATGCAGTACTAAACTTCTGTGATAAGATTATGACATCATCTCCATTATTAAGATGAGTTAGCAATCAGATTGGAAATAAGTCTGACCCACGCTTACCAAACCTAGATTTTCTGATTTGAAGACCAGTGCCCTTCCCATCACGATACAGAAATGATTAGAGGAGTAATGTGCCTGCTTGCATCAACCATATATTTTTTGATGCTACCATCTATACCCACTCTTTCCTACTGGCCACGTCTCCTGGCATTTCTAAGACATTACATTCCATATAAATAGAACCTGTGGCAAAGGTAAAGCAAATGTTCTGTTTCTTTTAACACTGAAAATCTTTAATGGGAAAATGAAACTACTTCCAGAAAAGAGGAAACACAACCCAAGAAATGACTGGAACAAAAAAGAGTAAGATGTCTGTGGAGCAGACTCAGCTTCCCCATCTGGCAGGAGCTAGTGTGTTCACAACCACGGACTTTTCACCACCAACCCAGAGCTCGGCATCTGCTTCATCCTCCACTTCCTCAGCTGAGGTACTTGCTTCCTGCTTCTCTTTTTCAGCTTTCTTCAACCCAGTAACAGTCATTACTATTATTAGTTGTGTTACTATTACTAATTGTTTGTATAATTGTTTCTAATTCACTTGCTTTGGGATGTGTTTCCCTTGTGGTAAAATGGGTCACACTGATGAGAAGCCACATGAAGTCCAATCACCCAAGACAATCAACTGTCACCTGCACCAGCAGGTCAGAGTCCCTTAAGGACTTCTAGTGTAAAATGTAGATAGCTGGAGTTAGGATCACACTTTCATTCAGGAAAATCATTCTGTTTAGATGAAGAAGTTTCTAACTTCATGTTTGTGTCTGCTACCTTCTTCAGTGAGAGCTTCCAGCTTATTCTGTGAAGCAACCCCTCCCTAGCTTGGCTCCCACCCCAAGCATCTGTGAAGGCTGTTGTTGCCAAATGTTAACACTGAAGTTTTACTCACAGAAAGTGAATTTGTATCTCTTGTTGAAACTTGTAAGTTTATTTTCCTGTTTCTTTCCACCGCAAAACCAGAAGAGACCAGCTCAATGCAAGGCAGCTGCCAAGAGAGGTGTTCTCCAGAAGGGCCCCATGATGGTGAAGGTGTTAAAGGCATCAGAGCCGTTTGAATATGAGTGCCCAGAGAAGGGGAAAGACATGATGTTCCATGCCACGGTGGCCAATGAAAAACAGTTTTTCCAAGTAAAGGTTTTAAACATCAACCTGAAAGAGAAATTCACAAAAGATAAGGTCATTACCTTATCAGATTACTTTGAGTGCAAAGGGATCCTGGAGGTAAATAAAGAATCCTTTGTGTTGGAAGCAGATTCTGGTCATCAGATTGAGGTCCCACTGAGCATCAAGAAAAGAGCAAATGAAACGCCCAAGATTGACAATCTTCTCAAGCAAGCATCAGGAACATTTGTGTATGGGTTGTTTGAAATTCATAACGTAAGCCCTTTAAATTATTTTTTTCGTTTTGTCTGTCACCAAAATTAACTGTCTTACCTGGTCAAGTTCTGCTTAGGGGCAGGATATGAGAACCCAGTTCTCAGCTCTCTCCCGAAAGAGGCAGAGGGACATATTCACTTTCTTGGGCCCAACATGCCTCCAACTGAGTTCTTTTAAAAAGATCCAATAAGACACCTTGTCATTTCATCAGCTTGATTATCTATTCTCAGTCACCATGGATAAGGACAATGCAGGCTATCTATCAATGTGCACATGTTAATGATTTTATCTCTAAACTACACACAACAGTATAAACCACCACATTCTTTTCATTTTGAAAAATGGATTACCTACTAAATTGAATACTGGGCATGTATTCAGTGCTATAAATAGATCAGCATGTATACTTTGGAATATAAGTAGGTTCATCAGTAGGCAAATGTTTAATCATTTCTTGCTGCCTCCTCTGTCTTATTCATCAACTATTCATGAGCAGTTCATTGAAGACTGAGAAATACTACAAGAGTGTGGACTATAGCAGCTAGTTCAATAGGATTAAGATATTGGAGAAGGGTGAGTAAATGGAGAAAATTGAAAAAGAATTCATGAATTACTAGAACCTTCCTTGTTCGATAGATTCTTTATAAGCTAGTGATTGAATAGTTGCTATGAAAGTCTATTCATTTCTGTAAAGGAGCAAAAGAAATCCACCAGGGCCTCCCCGGTGGCGCAGCGGTTGAGCGCTGGGTTGTGAAGCTGCCCGCGGCCTCTGCGGCGCCAGTTCGATCCCCGACTGCTCCCCGGCCACTGGAGGAGGGTCCCACATGGCGCGCAGACCTCTCCTGCCGCCCGCTGCTCCCCTCAGCAGTGTACTTCGGTCCTTCTGCCTGCTCTGCTCCCCGCTCTGGCTCTGGTGAATTCTCTCACCCTCCCGCGCTTCTGACTGTACCCAGTGCATGTATAAACAAAAACAAAACAACAAATAAATAAATAAATAAAACATGCCCGTAAAAAAAAAAGAAAAAAAAGAAAAGAAATCCACCAAAGTTTTCTGATTCCACTGATTCCAGTTATTTTAAGGAATTAAAATTTCCCTTGCAGTGGAAGTAATAGGAAATAGGAAAAATATGATAAAATTACCAGATAAAAAAACATCTATAAGCAGAAAAGCAAAAATTAAAAAGCAAGGCAATAAGCAGCAAGTCTCGGAGAAGAATTCACCCAAACTGCACATATCTGCCTGTAGTTGCTCTTTTACATCTATGTCACAGGGTCTTATACAGATGGAAGCCACTATGTTTTCAAAAACTGAATGTTAACTTTCTATTGCAGAAAAAAGTGAATAAGAAGAACACAATCTATGAAATACAGGACAGTACAGCGAAGATGGATGTAGTGGGGAGTGGAAAATGGCACAATATCGATTGTAAGGAAGGAGATAAGTTTCGACTCTTTTACTTTAAACTGAGAACGATTGACCAGAAGCCAAGTCTGATGTGTGAAAATCACAGTTTCCTCCAGGTAGGGTGTGGGTAGAAAAACATGAATTTCCTAAAGAGGCAAATACTTCTGTTTAGGTTTTTACAGCATGAGATTCTTATTCTCTTATCCATAGTCTACAAGAAGGGAGCACAAACCACGTCCTTGCTCTGGTTTATAAGTGGAGTTTTTAAAATATATTGAGGAAATGTGATCATTCGTGTAGACTTCAAAGGGTATGACATTTATGCTAATTAAGAAAGTATTTGAGCATTTGGGTTGTTTCCAAAGCTTAGCTATTGTAATTAATGCTGCTATAAACATAGGGGTGCAGGTGCTCTTTGGAATTGATGTGAAACAACCCAAATGCCCAAAAATAGATGACTGGATCAAGAAGATGTGGTACATATACACCATGGAATATTACTCAGCATTCAAAAAAGATAAACACATGCAATTTGCAGCAACATGGATGGAGCGGGAAGGGATCATGCTCAGCGAAATAAGCCAGAAAGAAAAAGAAAAATACCGGATGGTCTCACTCATAGCAGGAATCTAGAAAACTTAAATAAGGGACCAGGAAAAAGAATAACTATAGGAAACAAAATATCAAAATCAACAAACAGCTATGAACCAGAGACACTCTATAGGGGATGGGGGGCGGGGAAAGGAGGGCTTGGGGTCAAAATAAGGGAGTTGTAATTGTATGGAGAATATAAAAATAAAACTTAAATTAAAAAAAGAAAGTATTTGAGGAAATTAGAAGTGCATGGAAGTAGTTTCACACAGTGTTCAAGAGCAAGGCTTGAAGAAGACCTGATTTGAATTCTAGTTTCACTCTCACTAGTTACTCAGTATTGGGGAAACAGTTTAATCATTCTGGTCCTCCAAAGTGACCTGGTCATAGCATGGACCAAAATGCTAAGGGACACAGCATATGGATTATCTCACTGCCTGGCACAAAGAGAGAAACTGTTTTACTTACGGTGAAGACATTAGGAAGTGGGTCTAGGCAGAGGAAAAATGCACACCCATCCTCACTGCTGTAAAGCAGTGTGATGAGTTCCAAACAGCTGAAATTCTGTGGAACTAGAAAGACTGTAGGAAGATGAGGTCAGAGCATAAAGAAATGGGAGTGGTAGGCAGACAGCACAGGCTGTCAGAAATAAATGAAAGGAAAGATTTATATTTTCATTGTGAAAATAAGTGACACATTGAAAGATTTTATGCAAAAGAATGCTTGATCACTTTGACATTTTAGCAAAAAAAATACTAGGTTTCAGAGACAAGGATATCAATTAAAATCAATAATATGTATCAATTTAGAGGTACTTGTCAATTTACCTTGAATGATATTGCTGAAAGAAATAATAACACATATATTTATACTACTAGAAAACTCAGCACTCACCATGTGTAGGGAACTGAGACAACATGAGCCATCATCTTGATTCCCATGTCATTGAAATAGATGCTCATGCTCATTAAAGACAAATAATTTACCCCCATTGCCAGTAACAGGTGAGAACCCCACCCAGCCTATCTGGCTCCAGAGTCAGACTTTGAACAAGCTGAAGGGGCAGCTGGGACAGGGAGAGATGAAGTCTTGGTATCTGAGAGAGATCTCAATTTGCAGACTCTCCATATGAGAAAGAAAAGAAGTGAACAGAGCAGTCAAGGGAAAAGAGGAAAAGAGGAAAATGTACATAAAAAACATCACAAAAAAGTTGAATGAGGAAGCTCAACAGAGCGGATGCCAGATACATGGCCAAAGAGTCTCAGGTTCTTGAATAGCGACATTTTAGACAAAAAGCACATGTTACAGGCATGGACATGCCAATGCACGGGATGAAAGATGAGCACACACTCCCTGTCACAAATGTAGGAGCCACATTGGTCAACAGGCACAGAGGCTGTCCACAGGACTCTTGAACTGTAATCAAAGTTAAGCTAAGTGTACCTGATGACTTAGCACCCCGCCGTGTTCATGTGCACAGACGACATGCACGTCTGTGGTAGCATTTCTCAGACTCCTCAGACACCTCACAGAGCCCCTGTCTTTTACCTCTAGTCCAGACCCACCCCCCTGAGTGATGCATGTAACTCCTGTTGCCTCCTCTCCTTCCTGTCCCATGAGGACACCCCTCAATGCTTAGCACTGCAAGAACCAATGCCTACCTTCCCCTCGTGCCTCCGCCCCACCCTGTTCACTTACACTCATGCTGAATGTTAGGAAATAGCTACTTCAACCTCCATGTGATGGGGCGGGGACAGGTTCAAAAGAGAAAACTGTGCTAATGGAGAAGCAAGAGAGAATGAGCAGCTTCTGAAGGACAAGGCGAGAGATTGCTGCTAGTGCAGCAGCGATGAGGGAAGAAATCTGCCAGGTCATCTCAACTGCTGGGGGCTCATTGTGTCTTTTTATCTTTTCTTCAAGGTCATCAAGGCTAAGAAAAAGAAGGAAAATCCATCCAGTTCTGCTGTAAATCAAAATTTTCAGCCTACGAGCCCACCTCCAAGTCAATTAGGTAGTCTCACAAGTTATACTGTTAAAGTCGAGCCTTACACATGTTATAGTTTCTTTGAAAATTATCCAAAGTATTAAGACATTTTTATACCTGAGTTCTGGATTAGATGACTATTTTTTAGTCTAAAGTGATGAATTTTTTATAGATATGTTTAAAGATTTTGCTAATACAACAAAAATCTCATGGACATTGTATTCCTTAAAATAAGAAGTGTCTCTCTCTCTTTTTTTTTTTTTTAGTTTTTTTCTTATGTATTTTTTCACATCATTTGTCATTTTTGCACAGTGTATGCATTTTCATCTTGGTTATATCCCCCATACAATTGCCACCCCCCTTATTTTGACCCTACTACCCCTTCTTCTCTCCCCCGTAATGTGTCTCTGGTTTATAGTTGCTTGTTGATTTACTTATATTTCTCTGTATTTTGTAGGAATACTACATTTTGTATCTATAATGGCCATGATATGAAATAATAAAATTTTCTCTTTTTTTAGAGCATCCTTTTCCAGAAGTGCTGGATATGGTCTCTTTAATCCAGAAGTGAGTTGCATGAGGGTGGCTAAGCATGTACATAAGCACACAAGTGGGCATGCAGAGCCACATCAATATTGGGGTCTGCATGTTGGCTGTGATTTCCAGAGGATCATGGGCCATGTGTGAAGGTCATGTGCATTGATATCACAGCTCATGTTCATATCAATAAGCCCTGTGCCTTTTGTGAAATACAAAAATGATTTACTGTCTGCAATTGTATCTCCCTGGAGAGGAGCACTTATGTAGCTCCTGTCCCTGGAGGAGGCACTGTTGGTGATATGCACAAAGGTATGAATATATGCAAGAAGCTTCCCTGTCCCTACTGGTGGGATATCTGTTCTATTCTTTGTATGTGTACATATATCTCACTATTAGTTGCCTACTTTATTTTCTTATTCTTACATTTTTTGTCTTTTTATTGATGGATGGCTGGATTGACTAACTATTATTGAAGTACCATGGCTCCCCATCTCTCAGGACTGGTGTTGACCTTGTAGCACTCAGAGTGCACAGTCTGCAGACATTCAGGTCTGGAACCCAAGAGAGGAGAGATATCAGTGGTGCAACAGGCATGAGCCAGTACCCTGCCCTCAATTCTACCAGTGTCTGCACACATAAAGGCTTCTTCTCCACCTGAAAGCTGTAAGATTAGGTATCTGAATCTGTGGAATTCCAGAAAGGTCAGACATCTAAAAATCATATAAATTGGGAAAACCTGAAAAAAACCACAGTGCCACCTGCTGAAAAAGAATAGAACATATCTCTAAGCAACTGTAAAAGTATCTTTTATAAAAATAGGAAAATCAAAAGCAGCATCATTTTTGTATCATGTGTCAGACAAGGGGCTAATATCCAAGTTCTAGAAAGAATTCATACAACTCAACAAAAAGAAAACAAAAATCCCAATTGGAAAAAAGGGCAGAAGACCTAAATAGAAACTTCTCCAAAAAAGACACTCAGATGACCAACAAGCACATGAAAAAATGCCCTTGTACACTGTTGGTGGGAATGACTGGACCAGCCTCTATGAAAAACAACATGTAGTTTTCCCAAAATGTTTAATATAGATCTGTCATATGGGAATGTTCTAGAGATATCGGTTTACACTTCTACAAATGTATATTATCACACCACACCCATCACCAAGGCTCCAATATTCTTCTACCTTAGTCCATTCTTCATTTTAAACAAAAGATTTACAGGAAGGAAACTGTGCAGTTTCTGTGACTGATAATATCAAATGCTGTGAACATTGATGGGTGGAGTCTCAACATCACCTCCTAACTTCAAGACCTTTCTCTTTTGGAGGAAAGCTAGTGGGGAGAAAATTATCTCCTGGTACAGAAAGACATAGGCCAGCATCACTGTAATATTTCAAAGTATTTTGTGTTCTTAGCTTTTCTTTAGGTTATAATATTCTGGAGTTCAGTCTTTGGAGATTTTTACTAATTTACCTTTAAACTCTTAGAAGACAGTGATTCCTGTATTTCTAAAGAAATATTTCCAAATCAGGGACTACTGTGGAAAAAGTCCCGGTGGGATTTCTGTACAGACCCGGGCACTTGTTATTGATAACATGTTTACAAGGGCATTTTCCCTTATATAAAATGCTTTCTTCCTTTTCTTCTTTTGCTCCATTTTTAAACAGATGTCATTGTGTTTAACCTCAAAATAACATCTTGTTCCATCTTCTACAAAAAATAGCTCCAGTTATTAGTTAACCACATGCACATATTGAGAACTAATTATGTTTCAATCTTCTGCTTCTGCAAGGAATCCTTGAAGAAATTGACATTATTTCTGGCCTAAAGAAATTTTCTGTCTTTTGTTTTCCTAGGCATTAGAGAGAGAGATGTAGCATCCATAAAAAAACAGTGGACTACAGTAATGGGTTTATTGTCTACCTGTTGAGTCTCTCACTCTTCTCTTATTACTGCTCAGTTTCTTCAATACCTTTTGCTTCTTTCTACTTTGGGATTTTCACAAACCTAACTTGGTGGAATGTTTTCACCCTATGGGTTCCAATTCATTGTCTCCTCAGGAATTTCTCCTTAGAGCCATTCAAAACCTAGGAGAAATATTTTTGGTGCTTATTTTATAGGATCTTGCTTTGTTTGTTTTTTTTTCTTTTCTACCACTGTGATAACTCAACTAATATTTCATTTCACCCACCCTGTAAGTTTCAAAAGTAGAAGTGTCCTGTATATTTTTAAGCCACTTTTTCTAAGTACCTAGGTCAGACTTTGCCTCAAAGTATACTCTTGAGAAATGCAGTTGTCCAATAAAATATTGAACACCAAGTACCAAGATAACAATTAAACAGGGTCTGATGAAACATAAATGAAGGTCCTCTATGATTACAACTAAAATCAGTTGATATCTGTGGTGATGTTGGCCATCAACCTCCATTTCCTGTGCTATTTAACATTGCTATTTTATTACATTTTCTTTGGTTGTTTAAGTGGTTAAAGGTAAATTTGAATTTATTGTTGTATCATTTAAAGAACAAACAAAATTTGCATGTTGCTATCATCTCAACTAATTTTTATGTACAACTCATAACCCCATTTCATTTGTCTTCTAGAATGGGTGCTTAATTTTACCTTTATGACTTTGTGTGCACTCTCTAAAAGAGACCAATTTTAAAAACACAATTCTATCATTGATGAGTAATAATTTCCCTAACGTACACCCTACCCTTTACCAAAGAGCAGATCAATATATCTATATCAGAAGCCCTAAATTAGGAAACCAAGAATCACAAAAACCACAGGCATATGATGTAGTCATAGCAGATCCCCTAATTATCCCTGACCTCCTTCTGCTTTTTTGGAACTAATCAGATGATTTTCAAATTCAGACTTCAACTTCTCCCCCATCATCCCAATTTAGGTTAACTTAAGAGTCCTTAGATGTTTAGATGGCCTCTGACCAATCACCCAATGTAAATGGTCTTTGAAGCCCTTCTGCTCATAGCCTTATTCTTTATGAGTATCATATAATGGTTTCAAAAATAAGACCTGCTGATTGGTTCCATTTATTTGACATCTGCAGATTTTCTAGAGAGTATCCAGTGTGCTTAGCAGAAAAAAAGAAATCCAGCATTTTTCTCAGGCCCATAGCCCTTTGAGAAGCTTAGTGTTTTTTTCAGAATTTGCATGCTTCATTATTACAATTTTATAAGCCAATTGTGCACTTGTGTTTTCTGCACATAAATGAGAAAGACAAAGGCAATAATAAAATTCAATCATTGAAATAATGAGACCTGGGCACAGGCAAAAAGATAACAAGTGCACAGTCATTTTCAAGTGTCCCAGGAAGGAGTCATATATTACAATGATTTGTCTCTATTATGTCCCAGGTATAGCAGTTATGTGAATATGTCACATACATTGAAGCCAGGGGTATCATTTTTGTTTTGTGTCTTCTCCATCTTTTTCTTTCTTTGTTCATTTATTTAGTTTTTAATGGAAGTAACACTGGTTTACAACACTGTGTATCACTTAGAGGTATAAGATCACAACCTTTGGGGTATGTCACCACACCACACCCACCATCAAGGCACCCATAGTTCTCCACCATAGTCCCTATTGCAGATCTTTCTCCATCCAGGAGGTGCAGCCAGGTTCTGGCAGAGATAGATATCTCTACCAAGATCTCATACTGCCCCTCTGAACAGGAAAAGGGGAGAAGGTTGGGTAACACTCTTCCTCTTGAAATTTGAGCCTCATTTAAGGGGCCTTCGTATCTACTGACCTACAGTTAAGTCTGCTGGATAATAAGATTATAGTGCTGTAAGTTCTTTCAGCTGTAGACAATTTTAAACAAAGAATTTTGAAAGGAAAACTTGGCTCTGATTTCTCATTGCAAGTTGTTTACAGGCAGGACTGTTCTGTTTCTCTGACTAAGGAAATCAATAGCTGTGAACACCAATGGGAGAAGTCTCATGAATATGTAACTTTCCCCTTGCTGGTGAGCAAGGAGAGGAAAGTGTGAGACATCCAGCACCAATCAAGTGAGTAACTCTTGCCAGTCCCTTGGTCCTTGGTATTCTTTATAATACTTTATTTTCTTTGGCCCTTTAAGAGATTTTAATATCCTGCCTTTCAGAATCTGCAGTCCTACTGATTTCTGTTCCTACTGTTGTTATAAGCTAACAGTGATTCTCAAAGATCTCAAGATCTAGATACTGGAGTAGAAGTTTTACATTCAGTGAGTCCTATGAGGCTTTCTGTAGAGACAAATTCTGGTACTTCCCTTTGCAACCACAAGATCACATGCTTTCCTGCTTCTGGGTGGGCATAAGGGAAGTGAGAAGCGGGGAGGAGATGCATAGATTATTCCCATGAGTGAAAATCACAGTAGCTTGGTTCCGATTCTCACCTACCTAGGAAGATAATACACATCTTTTTGTTCTGCTACAACTGAGATCTAAACCAAGTGAAATGCATTTTGACAATTGCAGATTTTTAAATTCATTCTCCAAGTGTTTATAGCAAAAGTTAATATTTAAGAGTGGATTTTGATTGGCTGGCCTGGAGGGAGCAGAAGAGCTTTAGTGGCTGTGGGGGAGGTCTGGGTAAAAGACAAGATAATGGCATGGAAAAAATATTGTGAATTAATATTAAGTAGAAAACACAACTGGACATAAATCTGTATTGCATATTATTACCCCAGTCTTACCAGACATGAGGACAAAGAAAATTTCTGTTTCACAAAATATGAATAATCTAATATATGGTATCTTAGTATTTTCATTAGTGCATCAGCTCTGTTCTACACCAGTTGTTGAAGGCAGAATTTCAGTCCTCTGGGAGTAGGGAACTGAAGGAGATAGGACATGGCTAGGGAGTTCTGACGGAGCTTAAGTAAAACGTGTATATATGGTATGTTTTGACTAATTTCTGCCATCTTTGTGTCAGTGAAACAATGTGTAGCACATTGAACAATTATTCTATGCTCCTTTTTCTCCTTGGCAACATTTTGAAAAATATTTTTCAAATGGGTTTTGTTTTCCCCTTAAAAACAAGTAACTCACATCCTCTGTTCTTAACACCGTTAGCACATCATGAAAATCTACTTCCTGTTTGGTTTCTCTTTGATCAGTGTTTGATTCACTTTTGAAATACTGACAGACCTAAGGGAATTGGGTTTTTTTTTTTTTTTCCTCTTACTTACCCTTTATCCTGAAGCATTACTTAGCTTTACTTACGTGTTCTCATATCGAAGACTTAATCTAAAAGAGTCATTTGATACATGGTTTTCCTTTGCAAATCTTCTGGTTATTAATGATATTACTTAATAGCAAACAATATTTTTTTCAGGTTCTCACATGAAAATATAATTTTGGCTAGGCAGATAATTCTAGTTTCAAAATCATTTTTCTTTATAAAAAAGTTTAGTGACACTTTAGTGAAGTCTCTGGGGTTACAGTGTTTGGGATTCAGAATTTGAGAGACTTAAGGAGTGCCATTTGATGCACACACCACATTTAGTGCCCACAGATGGCCCCCAAGTGTCGAGGTAACGACTCCAAAGTCAAATGTATGGATATTTCTGTAGCCAAACATATCAACATTTACACTAAAGTGGAATTTTAAAAAGATGTAGGTAGATTGCTCTCTCCTTTGATCAAATTTTATAATTCCACATACGTGTATGCTTACATCTACAAACCTTTTGGTTTCAAAGGTACAAGGGTGGAATTTGGGGCAGCAATATGGAAAAGTACTCCATTGTTCTCCTACACAAGATTTGCTGTTGAAAGTCTGATGCTAAATTCAGGCTTTGTATCTCAGGAAGCTTCCAGAGTTTTTGATTTGCAACTGAGAGTCTTCATTTTCTCTATTTGAAGTCACCAAAGTTTCTGTGACTCTCCTATTGGCCTAAAAAATCTGAGAATATTTATGTTATTTTAACTCCAAGAGGTTTATCCCATTATTTCTTTAAATATTTTCTCCTCCCCATTTC